GAAGGAACATCCATCACCGTGGCTGAGCCAACTACCCAACACCTCCTAAGTCACTGTGGTCTTTTTTGTGCATCAAGGAAATCACATCTCATACCTCTGCCAGAGGAGCAGGCATTGTGCGTGTGCAGTGTTAGGGAAATGAGCTGACTGGCACCCACTGAATTTGGCTGGTGAGGGTCTCATAAAAGCTGCGTTGTAGGCCTTAAGACTTGACTTAGGAGCCTGTGACGTCTGGTGTTACGTGTCCAAGATCCTTTCATGAATCCATCACTTCGGTGACTTAACTTTTTGAACACACAACAGCTGAAGACTGAGTCTGATGAAGACTAAAACTAGCAATGTGGAGCAACCTGAAAGTCTTGGGGGTCAAATCACCAATTTGGAGTTTTAGCACCTGAAACAGACGAACTACACAAAGTGGAAAGGGGAACCTAGAAAAACAATGTTGCGAAAAGTTTGGTTTTGTTTGCAGTTTTTTTAAGTTATTGGCGTTAGAACAAAATTAAAATTGGCTGAATAAATTAGTTGAAAGAATGAACTTTGTATATACAGTACAGGCCAAAAGTTTGGACACACCTTCTCATTCAATGCGTTTTCTTTATTTTCATGACTATTTACATTGTAGATTCTCACTGAAGGCATCAAAACTATGAATGAACACATGTGGAGTTATGTACTTAACAAAAAAAGGTGAAATAACTGAAAACATGTTTTATATTCTAGTTTCTTCAAAATAGCCACCCTTTGCTCTGATTACTGCTTTGCACACTCTTGGCATTCTCTCCATGAGCTTCAAGAGGTAGTCACCTGAAATGGTTTTCCAACAGTCTTGAAGGAGTTCCCAGAGGTGTTTAGCACTTGTTGGCCCCTTTGCCTTCACTCTGCGGTCCAGCTCACCCCAAACCATCTCGATTGGGTTCAGGTCTGGTGACTGTGGAGGCCAGGTCATCTGCCGCAGCACTCCATCACTCTCCTTCTTGGTCAAATAGCCCTTACACAGCCTGGAGGTGTGTTTGGGGTCATTGTCCTGTTGAAAAATAAATGATTGTCCAACTAAACGCAAACCGGATGGGATGGCATGTCGCTGCAGGATGCTGTGGTAGCCATGCTGGTTCAGTGTGCCTTCAATTTTGAATAAATCCCCAACAGTGTCACCAGCAAAACACCCCCACACCATCACACCTCCTCCTCCATGCTTCACAGTGGGAACCAGGCATGTGGAATCCATCCGTTCACCTTTTCTGCGTCTCACAAAGACACGGCGGTTGGAACCAAAGATCTCAAATTTGGACTCATCAGACCAAAGCACAGATTTCCACTGGTCTAATGTCCATTCCTTGTGTTTCTTGGCCCAAACAAATCTCTTCTGCTTGTTGCCTCTCCTTAGCAGTGGTTTCCTAGCAGCTATTTGACCATGAAGGCCTGATTCGCGTAGTCTCCTCTTAACAGTTGTTCTAGAGATGGGTCTGCTGCTAGAACTCTGTGTGGCATTCATCTGGTCTCTGATCTGAGCTGCTGTTAACTTGCCATTTCTGAGGCTGGTGACTCGGATGAACTTATCCTCAGAAGCAGAGGTGACTCTTGGTCTTCCTTTCCTGGGTCGGTCCTCATGTGTGCCAGTTTCGTTGTAGCGCTTGATGGTTTTTGCGACTCCACTTGGGGACACATTTAAAGTTTTTGCAATTTTCCGGACTGACTGACCTTCATTTCTTAAAGTAATGATGGCCACTGGTTTTTCTTTAGTTAGCTGATTGGTTCTTGCCATAATATGAATTTTAACAGTTGTCCAATAGGGCTGTTGGCTGTGTATTAACCTGACTTCTGCACAACACAACTGATGGTCCCAACCCCATTGATAAAGCAAGAAATTCCACTAATTAACCCTGATAAGGCACACCTGTGAAGTGGAAACCATTTCAGGTGACTACCTCTTGAAGCTCATGGAGAGAATGCCAAGAGTGTGCAAAGCAGTAATCAGAGCAAAGGGTGGCTATTTTGAAGAAACTAGAATATAAAACATGTTTTCAGTTATTTCACCTTTTTTTGTTAAGTACATAACTCCACATGTGTTCATTCATAGTTTTGATGCCTTCAGTGAGAATCTACAATGTAAATAGTCATGAAAATAAAGAAAACGCATTGAATGAGAAGGTGTGTCCAAACTTTTGGCCTGTACTGTATATTTTTTAAAAAAAAAGCTGCCTGAGGCTCCTCTCACCCTTTAACAGCGCAAAATGGTTTCATCTACCCCTGTGCTAAATGCAGCTGGACCAAGAAAGGGAAAACAGGGTTAGAAAGCAAACTAAATTCAAAAGGTGATCAAGAGAGGAAGAGTAGGGCACCCTCAGAGACTGCTTGTGCATAGGGCCCACATTTTGGTGCTGTGCCCCTAGTTTGCATACACCCGGGCCTTTCTTTGTACTCTGAATCATGCAGCATCATAATTCAAAGTTTTTTGCAAACAGGTGAAACAATTTGAGTTTCTATTAATGTGTGCACTAATCCAGTGGTTCCCAGCTGGTGAGTCATGGTCCAAAAGTGGGTTGCGGGTCCATTTTGAATGGAAGTGACTTGAGAACATGTCAAGTTTGTGAACTTTATTTTGAAGTATTTGAAGTAAAGTGAATTTCTGGCGCATAGCTTTTATTTCAAAGCGCCATTTCCTGCTGTGGAGTGAATGACTAACGGACAACTACTCGACAGAAACAGCAAACTAGCTTGACGACATAGCCAAACGCAAGTATGATGTTGAACATATCAAACTGTGTGGACATTGAACTAATCCTGTATCTGCTCCCCACCAGTCCACTGCATCAATAATGAAATAGGAATAGGTCAGGGCCATGTTGTCCTCCTAATAACAGTTCTAACTGTTGTTCAGTAAAGAAAATGAACTGCCAGCAGGCGTGGTGCAGGTGTAGTAGATACCTGCAGATTGAAATGCTGAACACTAGAGGGCGCACTGACATTAATACATTCACAATAACAGCAGCTGTCAGATCACATGACACGTGTGTGTAACCTTTACAGGTTTGAAATGGTGTAGATAAAGAGAGGGAAAACATGAAGAGCACAGAGACAGCTCATAGCACACTGTATCTCATACACGTGTGTCCTCTTCATTCACACAAACACGTCTGTAGTCATTTTACTGTAGCAGTTTTTAGCCGCGTGCAGCGCCTCGAGGCATTATTTTGCATGTGCACCATAGATTTAGCCCAGGGAGGTGTGTTCCCTTTCGCTTCGTGCTGAAGATCTCTTGCAGCTGCAGATGTCTACAGTCACTGAGCACCGAGGAGGGAGCTGCGTCAAGTTAACGAGCTGTAGACAGACTTATACCGGAAGTGTGATCATTTATACTTTAAAATTAAATTGCAAGTTGAGAGCACGGCTGCTGGTAGGCTTTTGGAAAACTGGCACAAAAGTATTTTAACATTGTTGTTCTTCCAGCGATTGTATCACTTGTGAATTATAATTGTACAGTTTTGTTATTTTGGATGCCATAAATACTGAGTACACGATACATTTTAAAACAGTTTGAGTTTAAGCCACTATTGTTTTTAACAAACTACAGCACTACCTGCATTTTTGTGTCGTCATTTATTCAGGGAAAATTGACTGAGCATTAAGCTCTTTTACATCAATGCCCTGAGTTCACATTCAATGGGACAGAAGGATACAAATATATAATAGCAATCGCAGACAAGTAATGAAGATGGTCCAAAAAAAAAAAGGTAGCAGCAATGTATATCAACAATTAAAAACAGCAATGAAAAGTATAAAGATGAAAAAGTTAAATAATAAGAAAAGAGTCTGACGTAAAGGTCGGACACACAACAACAATTAAAACAGCAAAATGTAGAAGAAAAAAAATTACATTCAATCAAAAAAACAAAAGTCAAGGTTCACTCATTAGGTTTCCACAATATCCCACAGCTTTCTCAGGTAATGTAGCTTTAGTTTATTGATGTGAACTATGAAGCCAATTTTGATCAAATTTGGCACAAACGTCCCCCATGGACTCAGCAATGACCTGATTGGATATTGGTGATCATAGGTCACAAATCAACTTTGCTATGACCTTGTCTGTCTCATCCTTGTGAATGCAATATCTCAACAACACCTTGACTGACTTTATTTTTATTTATTTTTTTATTTAATGTTTTTTAATTTGGCACAAATGTTTATGTAGACTCAAGGATGAACTGATTAGACTTTGATGGTCATAGGTCACAGGTCAAGGTCAATGTGATCTTGCATCCATCCCTTTCCTGTGGATGTGAAATCTCAAGACCACCTTCGGGGAATTTCTCCAAATTTGGCACAAACATCCACTTGGATTGAAGAAAAAACTGATTAGAATTTGGTGGTCAAAGGTCAAAGATCAAGGTCAGTGTGACCTCACAAGACATGTTTTTGGTCATAACTTAAGAACTCTTGTGCTAAGTATGACAAAACTTCACACAAATGTCTAATAGGATACAATGATGACATTTAATATCCAAAAGGTCAAAGGTCAGCTTCATTTTTTACAGGATAATGTTCTGCATTAAACACTTTTCTGTCCATTACACAATGTCATATCTCAGGAATCGGTGGGGAAACATTTGGTCAGATACTGAATTAGTGACACTGATCTTGGTTGCACCTTAAACTCTGCCAGTTGTATAAATTAATGAATAAATTTGTGCTGTCAGGGGGAAGATGTGTGTGAAGCAATCGTGTTTTCACAGGCATGGATATTAACTGTGAGAGAAACTTGTCTGGTGTCTGGAGGCACTAATTCTAGTTTTCTGTTTCTATATGATCTTGACTTTTGCATTTAATTTTATTTCCTCTTAATCTGTTTATTGTATGCACCAAACACCAGGGCAAACTCCCTCTAAGTGATAACCTACATTGTGATTAACCGTACACTGGTTCTGAAAATTCCGAGTCTTTTATTTTGACATGTGTAACCGGAAGTGGTGTGTTGAGCCGTTGACAGTTGGCTGGCTGCTTGTATGAAGGTTCAGGGAGGGAGGGACGCTCGTAGAAAACCCTGACACGCTAGCTTCATCAGAGTAGCTGCAAGGCAATTAACGTACAGCAGCGACGCACCGAAAGAGGGTGGCCACCGAAACTAATCAAAAGGGCCGTCCAGCACCTGAACCATCAATCGGGTTTATGAGTTAAGGCGATCAATCAGCCTGCGGTTAACCTTCGGTGATACGCGGAAGCGTAATTCAACGTCAACGGGTCTTTTGACTTATTATCGGTGACAACATGGCTGAATGTAACGTTAGCATCGACAAGAATAAACTACCTGGAGTGAAAGAGGGTAAAGTCTACAACATATTTACTGCTGCTAGCTGTTTAGCATCACACATATGTAGCTAGGTGACACAGGCGAGGCTAATGCTAACCTTGTGAACACAGGTGTTTCTCTTTGGTGTGATGGTTGTTAGCACAGCTTGCTAGTTGATGCTAGGTCAGTAGAGTTAATGCTGGAGTCAGGTAGCCAGCACTGATTAGACTTCTTAGCCAGGGTTACAGGCGTCGTGCCAGATTTGGTGTCAAAATCCGTCTCCAGGCAAGGCTGGAGGGCGAGACATTATTTTAGCAGGGAGAAAACAGATTCCACTTCATGTTATACATAATGTTTGGATTATGGTGAAAGGGGTTGTGGGCAAAGGGACACACACTGATGGGTATACACAATCTGGCACGACACCGGTGTGTGTGAATTCAGTGTAGGAGCCAGGTAGCCTCAGTGCTGCCCACATGGAGGTGTTTGCCTGTTGTTATATGGAGGACAAGATGCTTTGTCCGTTGTGATGAGAGCACCTTTAACAGTGGCCTCTTCCTTTTGAATTACATATCTGACATACCCGGTTACATCTTGCCTTTGGTTGTAAAATCTGCAACTGCTTTGAAACATTATCTTGAAAGATCTTTGTCACTCCTCCTCCCTCATAACTTTTATAGCTCCCAAAGCTTTGTGTGCTGGTACTGCACAGGCGCAGGTGGAAATTGTTGCTTTCACGCTGAAGCAGGTTTTGGATGGGATGCTGTGCTGGAAGGAAGGACCCGTCCTGTTAGTGCTCAGCAGCTGCTCAGCAGGATGCTTGTTATTCTGGTCAGAGAGAGAAGGAACGTGCATTGCCACTGCTTGGCTGGTCTGTAGAGGGAAAGACTGAGAAAGCTGCTGGAAAAGTTTAAGTTTCATCCCTCGTGCGTTGGGAAAATAGTAAATATTGTGAGCTGTCGAGCTGTACTGCTGTACTGTAACTCACAGATTAACCGAGCTTGTAATTTTCCTTTTCCCTCTGTACATGGAGCACAAAGACTTGACTCTTGTGGTCCTTTGTGCATTGTGGTGTCAGGGTGATTTTCTGTTTCCAGCACAAAGGGATCAAAGGATGGTGTGAGAACTATAGCAGCTGTAATCCTTCTGTCACTTGCCAGTGTCATTAAAACTAACCCCAGTTAAAAACAGCATTCTCCCTAAATGCTAACTCCTACGAGCTTTTGAGGAACCCAGACTGTTCAAAAGTAGTTCAAACGACTGGTTTGTAGAGCTATACCAGCCAAAATAAATCTCAGGTTTCTTGGCTAAGAAGATTAGGCATATGGTTGAAAAATGCTCTGTGTTAATCAAATCCCATACTGGTCGGAGGCAGTGAGTGGGGGGCTTTGTGGAGGTCTCGCCCTCCTCTTCACAGCATCTGTTTAAATCCAAGCATCCACGCAGTGTCCTCCCATCGTATTAAACCAGAAAATCTGGACCACTCATCAGTGTTGTCTTTGAGTCCCAGGCGTTTTGGTGCTTGTCAATAATGCACGCCAACACATAGTCATAGACTGTTGCCTGTTATTAATTTTTTATGGGGATAGTAATCTTTGTGAGAGCAGATGATGTGCTGTGGGCTTGGTAGTGTGAGGCTGAGTGTGGCTAGGCTCTGTAATAAAAGCTGTGAATACAATACAAGTGTCACAGAAAGGATTAACATGCAGACTATATATGATGTATGATGTGAGTAGTTCTCATTATGTAACAAGAGTAGGTAAATGAAAGACTCTAAGGAAGTTAAATATTTCTTTATTTTGGTCTTCACTGAACAGAACCACAGCCAACAGCAAAGTGGTGTGTGGCTGCATGCACGATGAAATCATGGCTTAACTTTGTCCTTCTATATTTGATGCAGTGATGTTTACACAAGATTTGCAGCTGAAGAAAAGTTTTTTACTGCAGTATTATGAGATATATGCTAAGCAGAGGGTAGTTAGATCCATGTCAACTGAAACGTAGAGGCACATGCTTCAGGGTACGTTCGCCCTACGCTATAAGGTCCACATCCATAATTAGTTGAGGCTGTAAGAAAGGTCTTAAAGGTCCCCTTAGCTTCCCCCGTCTCCTACACAGGAAACTGTCAGCATTTGAACACTGGGAGATCCACAATGTTCAAAGGAAGAAAAGCTGCCTCGTTTTTAGAACAGTTCAGATGGATGTGTGGTGATGGTATCTGGTTTTTATGAGGAAAGCTCCCCTCCTACAAGCATTGTTTCCAGAATGAATGTTCACAGCACTTTGGAAGAGTCTGTAATATTGAAACTATTAACGGAAAGTCCGCTGAAGATTTTAGAGTTGTAGTGAAGATGGGAAAACAAGCAGTACAATATCTCACACTCTGTATGCAGATATTTGAGATCATGATTTTATCCATGCATGTGCAGTTTGAGTCAGTGAGCTTATGACTAAGATAATGGGCCTAGTAAAAAAATCAGCTATAAATTGCTGTCAGAAGCTTTAGTAAAATATGACTCACTGGTGGATCGGTTTGTTCAGATTTTTAGGTCTCATGCTGTGATATTTTAGGTTAGACCTATATGACGTATATAACCACATGAGCATTTAGGATACATCATCTGATTTAAAATATACATAACTATATTTCCCTCTGTCTGTGCCTTGCTGATAAACACAATTAGTTTTTCATTGTGGGAAGTTTCACACATGTACTGTATTTACCTGCTTGTCACATTTTGTGGATTTAAACCAGCACCTTCTCAGTAATAAACCTACTTCTCTCTTAATGCCTCTCGCAACTCTAAATAACTTTCAAGGAAGAGCTTAAGAGCTCCCTCAACATCAGTCTTTATTTAGGCTCTTACAGGCTAAGGGCGATCGTTCCTCATTCACAGTTTCACTTCGTTTTTACAGTCAGAAAATAAGCAAACCACATACCACTGGCCAGATGGCCTCACTTTTTATCAGACTGAGAAATCTAGATGTACAGTTTTTAAATGTCTCTTCATATTAGCATCATGATATGAAACACATCTTTGGATTTTGCTTCAGTATCATCCAGTAGCCTCACAGGGCAAATCCGAACTTCACACTGTAAATTGTGAATTGTGTCATGTTTATGATAATACTAATTATGTTGCAATTTTTTTCATTACTTTTGTTGTAAAGCAGACCTATCAGCTCATCATATGAGTCACAACACCAGCAAGAGTAGCTCTCTCCTAAGTTGCATCCATTTAGCCTACTTTCCTGTTTTTGATCGTGGGTCAGATTTTAGTTATTTTTCTGTGTAAGCATGTGTGTGGGCAGATGGGCCGGATGTAACACACCTGAAACTGTGAATGTCAGATAGAGATCTAACATCTCAGCTGACAGTTTAGAGTCTGAGTCGACAAGCATACAGTAGTTGAAACTAATTCTAAACTTTGGCTTTCTCAGTACTCTTTTTCAATTTCCTTCTGTCTTTTTTCAGTGTGCCGAGACTTTGCTGTGCTGGAGGACCACTGCCTGGCCTACAACCTTCAGGAGCAAGAAAGTAAGAAACTACACATTAGCCAGTGTTTTTTTGTTTTTTGTTTTTTGTTTTTCACTCAACCAAATCGCACATGCAAATTCCTCTGCAACCTTTCAGTCCTTTTTCAGTTTCCAAGGGCCACTATCAACTAGTTTTCAACACGTGGCGCTGAGCAAATCAAGTCTGCCTGGTGTAGATGGCCGCTCACAGCTCAGTAGTACCAGCCAATCACAGCACATTATGGCAGAACTTGGCTGCAGCCTTATTTGCTGTTTTCAAAAATGCCTCAAGGGCCCCACATTAGATGAAGAGTTGTGATTGGCCTGGGAAGGGGAACCAGATGCATCTCCCAGAGCAAATAAAACATGAGCTCACAGATTCGTCTGGTTTCCAGACAGTATGTTATCCCCTTAAGAGACAGGTATCTCCAACTTCAAACGGGACGTCTGCTTCAAACAGATACTGTAGGTCTGTTCCCTTTCCCCCAGATAGTCTGTTTAAACACTTAAGTCATTTATTGTTGTAATGTTTTCTGCATCAGACCGTTGCGTCACTGTAGACTGTTTTGTCTAGCTGCCCTGCTGCATTCCTCCTCTAGGTCACCTAATGCTTACCTTGCAAAAGAACAAACTATGAATGATGGTTTTAAGAACGTCGCAGTAGGAAATGAATGCGGTCCACGATGCTCCTCTTTTTTCCTTCTGGAAAATTTGTCAAGTCTAACAAACTGCAGCGTCAGTGGCTGCAGCCTGCTAAAGCCTACATAAACCCTGCTTCAGCCACACAGTTAACTGTGTGAATAGTGCAGGATGCCACAACAGTACTGTATCAGGGCAGGGCTGAGGCAGACTACAGTGGGCTGGTGCATGTGATTTGTTTGGATCACACTCATTTGTGTGTGCCGCAGCTGTAGCACAGAGAAGCTGGATCTGAAGTTAAACGGCACAGTCAGCTCAGCAAGGGAACACTCTGTGAGATACTATTGTCTCTAACTGTGTGTGTGTCTGTGTGTGTGTCTGTAAAGGAACATTTTGTGTGTATGTGTTGTGCAAGTGTTTGTCCCTGCATGCCTCATTAGATTAGCTGGTGCTTTTATGTGAGCTCATATGTGTGTAATTAGCCGGCATCTTTTTTCACGTGAGTTAAAAGGCACTTTGGGGACTCACTAAGGAGGGTTTGTTCCCATGCTGCAGAATCCCTCCCACCCCCCATAAGTGCATTAAATGAATTTCTGAAATATCGTCATGATTACAACATTAATATTATTTTGCTTCAGGGTTTTTTTGTTGTTGAAATTCTCTCAGGAACTGCTCGCCCCTCTCTGTCTGTTGTCTCCTGCTGGATTGGGTTGGAGCGAGACTTTGTGACCCAGACATAACATAAGAATCAACACAAATTAATATTTGCAGATGGCTAATAGCCACCACACCTCCTCATATCCTTCACCTGCACACGCACATAAAGAAATGACAGGAAGCAACGGAAAGAGGCTTCAGCTATTAGGCTATGCAAGAACTTAGGGTGCTCTGCTCTCAGGCCTAGAGTTGTCTTGCTTTGGTCCGAATCAGGGACTAATTTTATTACAAAGTTGCATAATTGCCTCAAGTTGGTTTGTGTTCTCATGGCAGCATTTACAAGCGGACCAGATAAAATGCCTTGCACAAGAGAGCTGCTCTTGACTGGTCAGAATTTCCATGAGGGAAAAATCCAGGAAGTAAACAAAACGTTGAAGAAGAGTACACTTGCAGAATAAATGTGACACTTTCTAATGTCACCATGGAAGGACAACTACACAGGTTGATTTTAGCGCTGGTCATCGTGGACTGTATTGCTGTCATTGCTCATTTTAGTCAAACCATACAGTTTGAAAACGAGGCGCGGCTCCAACTAGAAAACAATGTTTTGATGCATTGGATGTGCTGAATGTGTATATTAAGGCAGTACAGGAGGAGGTGCACATTAATAATCCTCCAGGACTTTAACATGCTCATATTTAACACAAACAATGTGCAATGTGATTGCAGTTGGTTCGGTTCAGATGTGTTTGGTGAGCTTTTGATTTGCAGGGATTGATGAATACAGAGTGTAGACAGTGGTAACATGAGCACAATAGTTTAGTTTTTTGTAATGTTTCCATAAATATGTCATTCCGAGTCACCATTAGAGTAAATTATGCAACAAGCTCTACAAGAAATAAGGCCAGATGTCACCCAGCTGTACCCTAAGTGCAGATTAGGCTCTGTTTTAGCTGTGATTAATTGGACTTTGGCCGCCTGTCCATGTGCTGTCATTAACCCTTTAAAAGCCTTTGTGATCCATGACCGAGGCTCATCTCCCTTTGCTCCCTTTGTTGCTGCTCTAACTGATCTGCACTGAGCTGGAAAAATCATTGTTTCGCTTTTGACCCAGGAGGTCACTGAGGAGAATGCTGGCTGACAAAGCCTGATAGTTTTCTTAATGTGCAGTGTCCCTTTTTTCCTGGATCACATCAACAGATGGCCGTCCCAAAAGAGGCTTTTTAGTGCAATCACTTTGAGATAACGTGGAGTTAAAGCTGGTTTTTATTTCCATTTAAAATGCTGAGAGTGAAGCATCCAAATGTCGCATGGAAAACATTTCTTTATGGTTGTGTCAGCACTTGGCGTGTTTGTTTCTAGAATGTGTTTTCCCGGTTTCAGTGTTCAGCTCTTCACTGATATGTCTGAGGTTCAGATAGTCCAGCTTTCTAACCTTAATTCCCCTTTTGTTCAATGATGCGAGACCTCGTCAAGGTTGAGTTTGTTGAATGAACGAATGTCACGATGTCTGGTCATGTTTTTTTTTTTTTCTTTGTTTGTTTTTTTTTTTTTTTTTTTTGCTGCCTTGAAAATGAATCAATTTCCCTGTTGAAAAATATGGCAGCGGATAAATGATAGCCCTATCTTGAGTTGTGACATCAGTTTTTCCCCTCAGATATTTTTTCGTAAGGTGTCATAAACTTAAACAATTGATCGGCGTCATCCAAAAAAAAATCAATGTCAACCCCTTGACTTTTTATCAGGTTGCCACAGCTGTGACTCACAGTTTCCTCTTTCAGTCCCACCGGTCAGAAAGCAGAAACTTTATGGAACCTCTCTCGGGTAAATTGCCAAACGTAATTTGGTCCTCTTCACATGAAAGCTGGGAACAGATCGATAGCCAGGTGAAACAGAGCTGAGCGAGTGAGTGATGCTCTCCATGCTCACCAAGTGTTCGATGTGCGTCAGCAAGTAGGATTTATCATCTGTTATGGCCCACAACGTGCCATCACACAACCTTGGAACGGCACCTCAGCTGCGAACATTCATTTCTCAGTGACTAAGAGCGCTCTCTGTTTATCACCAAAGACTGAAGCGTCTGTGTCCTCAATGTTTATCTTGTTCTGTTCAGACCATCACAACACTACTGCTCCTCAGAGGAAAACATCAAGAACGTGCGGATCTGTAAATAAACTCCACAGCACTATGCTATGCCCATCACTCATCTAATTCCTCTTCACTAGTGCAGTCCAGTCAGCTGACCTACTCCTGTTGGTTTGTATGTACATGTTTTAAGGGCAGTGCTTATATGTTTGTGTCTAACAGTCGAGAGCCACTTGGCGTCAAACGTCAACAAGAGCCGTCTGGTGCAGAAAGACTTGCAGGTGGCCAAGAAGCTGCAGGAGGAGGAGGATCAGAGGGCCAAGGTCCAGACCCAGAAACAGCATGTTGAAATGTGAGTGTTTCTCACACACCAACACACATTTATGAATACCACTCAGCCACAACATTAAAGCTACTGAAGTGACGTGAGCGACATTGATCATCTCGTTACAATGCAATGATCTGCTGGGAAACATGGGGCCTGGCATTCATGTAGATGCCACCTGACTTACACCTCCCACCCAAACACTGTTGCTAGCCAAGTGCACCCCCTCATGATGGCAGTGGCCTCCCCAGCAGAGTGATGCGCCATGCCACATCAGAAAGCTGACAGAAAGCCCAAGGTGTCAGTCTGGCCTTTCAGATTCCCAAGATCCCAATCCAGTCAAGCAGTCATGGGACGGACAACCACTGAGAATGTCCTGTGGTGTTTAGCATTAGGGTGTTGGCGGCGTATACTTTGATTCCTGTGGGTTGTGTGCTGAAGTACCCGGACTTCTTACAGACCCTTAATCGGATTGGTATCTGCGGAATTTGGAGGCCAAGGTGATACCTTGAGCTCTTTGTTGCGTTCCTTGGGTCATTATATGCCTTATAACGAGATGAATAATGTGATTCACTTTAGTACAATCCCATTGGGAGAAATTGATAATAAAACCGTACACAAACACTGTATAAGTTAATTGCACATATATAATATGATAAATTACACTAGATTTAGCATTTACTGGAAAGCGCTTATCTGGTTGTAATTTTATTTAATTATCTAGGTGTAGCTGTAACCATTCTAAATGTAGAATCATGAATTTGTATTGGTCTAATTCCTGAAATTAAATGACCCTCAAACACTTCATGAAGTCACCAGAATACTTTTGCAGTGATAGCTGTGTACAGTATTTGCCGCTTCGTTGATAGCATCTGTTTCAGATTAGTGTAATCTCGTGTAATTACTCCCAAACCCTATAACCAGACAGATCTATGCTTCACCAGCAAACTGATCCATCACTCCTGCCGTAGATAACTCCAAACTGATATATCGTTCAGAGCAGGTTTAATCCTTTTATTGTCATAAATTAGCAGGTCAAGTCTTTCATTCACTACCAGCTTGTCTATGCTCTTTCATTCAGTTTGTGCTGTAGAGCATAGATGTGAATGTTTGGCTTTGTTGTCCAGGTTAGATGTACTTTTGATCACTGAGGAGACTGAGTTATACATTCAGTATAGTATAAGATGTAGCTGACTTTAATGTCTGCGCTCAGTTTGTGTTAACAAAAGATCACGAAATACACATTTTTCCAGCATTACTGAAAAAGAGAGGGAGCCTGTCTTCAGCTTGATGTGTTGTTTTAATAAACACAGAGGAGAAAACACAAGCAGCCCAAGCAGATACTTCACAGTTTTTGTGGTCTCTGTGTGGTGTCCCCATAGCCCTGATATATAATCATCTTTTCTGTTGGGTTTGGGTCAGTTTCAGCTGCACGTCCAAAGCTATGCAGACATTTAGTAGTGGGATTGCATCCCCAGGGAGAGGCCAGATGCTCCTCCACGATGCAGGCAGGCCAGTACTGCTTGTCATGCTGCACACTGCCATCCACCCTGCACCTTCCAATGCCACTTCAGATACACCCACTCTTGAGTCGCTTAACAAAACACACACAGCATCACTTAATATCTTAGTATGATCTGATGAAGGCATGCTACACACTATTTACTTTTGTCAGTTTAAGTCCTCCTGAGCTGTTGGCTGCTCGGGTCAAATACAGGTGCAACACAAGCTATTTAAGCTGTCACTGGTCCTTTTAAGTAAAGCATTACACTTGTGTGCGTCAACACTCACAAACTGGGAATAACCTTTAATAACAGCCCTCCAGGCAGATGGTGTTGTTATCAAAATCACATCTTTAAAGACGTAAGTGAGCCAAAGCGAGCTGTTAAGATCAACATCGCATCAGGCGAGAATATTCCTGCTCCTGCCTGAAGCACACAGGCTGCACGCTTTCACGACATATTAAATAACTTCAGTGTCTTATGTAGTGCGCTCACTGCTCTGTCTCTCTCTGGTGTTACATGATTAACTCAACTGTTGTGCAGATATTACTTCACTGTGGGTTCATTCACGTATACTACATTGTGAATTTATATTTTCACGATTAGGAAATGTCATGTATTTAGTGTTATTAAGTCTTAGTTTGCTGTATTAATGCAGTCAGATCTGTGAAGGCTAGAGTTATCTTTAACATCATGGCACGTTAGGCTTAAATGTACTCTATAGCTCCTTTTCAACTGGATGAAAAAGCCACTTACAGCCACTAACATCTGGCTTTTGTCTTTAGTGGGAAAGGTTACAACTGCCATTCATTCCTGAGACAAATTGCTCTGCAGTATTCATGGGTATTTATTGGCTCCAGCTCCTGTCAGCCGTGATGGAAACATGACACCGGGGTAGATCACTAATTTGTGCCCCTTTGTGGCACGATGCAATGACAGGCCACCACAAACTGCGTCTATCTCCATCCAAGCAGCACTTTCGTCTGCGCAGAGTTTGAAATACATACAAAAAAGGAACGGATACAAAAAAGAAGCAACTAACATTTTCTCTGGCCTCTTTTTACTTTTCTTTTTCACTGTTACAACGCCGTTGTGTGGTGCGTTTCTGACATCAAAGGTGACACATCAGTAAAAAAAACAAATAAAATAAAACATATAAGAAAGGCATACTTGTTACTGCAGGCCATGGAAAATGAGTCTATCATCTATTTTAAGGGGTTTCCCCACTTTTAAAAAATCTGCACATACACACTAATTTTGGTGCAAAAGGGTAAATAAGATGTGTAGTATCTAAAGAAGTGAGATAATAGTATTGAGGATCAGAAGGATGGCAGCTGAAGCATCAGCAGAAAGTGCTCAGAAAGAGAGACATTGAAGTACTAAACAAATATCTTTGAGAGAAATATAGGAACAAAGATAATCCTCCACATTCTTCCTCATACAATTACAGTTGTTACTAATTAAACATTGTAAGTTAGAGCTTGTATTATTATCCATAAGCTATTACCAGTTGTATATATGTTGTAATATTCTCCAAAATCCCTCCCTACGTACACATGAACCTTGGTAACGTCAGTGAGCGTCAAGACATTGAGATCGCCCAGGAAATTCAGGATCAACTGGTCCGACAGGCAGAACAACAGCGACAACAGGAAGAGAAGGATGCGGTAAGAAACACGCACCCATACTGACATTTCTGCCCAGTCAAGCACAATGTTGGTCACATGCTGCCTTCAGTGACCTCTAGTATCGATGTTCTGTACTGGGTGGGTCATTCCACTTGAATCATCACCTTGTTTGTGCCTCTTCATTGTGTTAATGGAATGACGGCTACAGTCACCTGACCTGTATTTTTTTTCCACAATGTTTATACCCTACGTAAGAGCAGAGATTTAAGTTTATTATTATACACACAATGAGATTAGACAAAGGGATATGGTTCAGTAGGGGTCCATAAATAAATAAATAAATAATTTGACATGTAAGGTATTACATGTATAGTCCTCAAGGGTGGGCTCCACCATTTTTAAAATTGACAGTGAATCTTTCAAAATAGCTGAGATGCCACGGATTATTTCTTGCCCTAAATTGAGGAAATGCTGGGTTTCATTGCTCTGTGGTTCTGTGGGAAAAAAATGCACTAATTGGCCCAAGTTTGGCACACACATCAGGGACAGATGCATCTTGCCACAGTAATTTGATATGTGTGAAGCTACACTGACTGGCAAAAGAGAAAAACTGCAACTCAAAACAAAGTGACATATTTGTCACAGATCGGCTCAAACAGAGACTTTTTTCATTCACCCGTGGGACGACATGTTTACTGTGGCCTTGTTTGTTTGTAGGCCATCGCTCGTAAGCTGCAGGAGAAGGAGATGAAAGAGGAAAAGAGGAGACAGAAGCAGCTGGAAGCAAACTTTGAGGAGGAGTACTTTGAGGATCACGGAGGTAGGGAGAGTACGAGTGGCTCATGTTGATGTGTGGCTGTTTCTGTGTGTGTGTGTGTGTGTGTGTGTGTGTGTCTGTGTGTCTGTGTGTGTGTCTGTCTCCTCTCTGTCAGGACACAAGAAGATATAGCTCCTCTCCCGTGGACTGGTATTTTTTCAGCTCAAGATGTGTGAGGGTGTGCTTTTGATGCTGCACAGTGCTGGAGATTGTGGCTGACTCGAGGCAATGATTTTGGAATGCATTTATAAGCTTATAATTAACCTTGAAGGGAGGCTTACATGTTCCTACAGAGAAATAATTTGTCATTTCGCTCCCATTCAAGAGCAAACACCGGCGTAAATGGGTTTAACAGTGCTCCAGTTTTAAGATCCAGCTAGAATGTGCATTGATAGCAGATTTTACCTCAGATATTAAATGAATATCTGGTTAGTGGGTAATGAATGCATTGAGGAAAGCATTTAGATGTCACATACCCGCAAATCTGTATTTGTTATGCTTCTATAACATATTTGTCCCAGTGTCACATATTGGAATCTGTTTCAAGTCTTTTCACGCACACGTCACCCGACCGTGTGATTCATCCCACTGGAGGTCTGTTTATTTTCTGCTGAAAGAAAAACAGCAGCTCATTTATAATCTCCCTCTCTTCTTTGACTTCTTTGTAAATAGTGTAACCCTGTGTCAGGTAACCTGCGCAGGCAATTCACCTTAAGATCGGGGTTGATCCTGCATCCTGCGTCATCTCCATGTTGACAAATGCAGGTTCAATTATGGTTCTTTTTATAGTAAAGTGCTATCAGCTTGTCAGCATGAGAACGGCAACAGTCTGACAGTGTGTGGCTTGGTCTGAATGCAGTTTTAGTTCTTGACCCGTAGGTGTGACTTTGAGTATAAGAGGAAAGCATATTTCACACAGTTATAATGTTTCCTTCTGACTCATAAAAGTTTGGTTTTTTTCTCCGCAGCTTTGTCAGCCTGCTGACTCTAATCTGGCAGATTGACTCCCAGTTTTGCTGCTTCAACCCTTGGCAATGTTGTGTTTGGATTTTGTTTGTGTTCAGCATACACACCATACTCATATCATTCCAAGATGGTTAGCAGAGGAGGAAAATAACAATCAGTCTCGACTTTCTCTGCTTTGCTTTTCGGTGCCTAGGGCCCAGTTGTTCAGAAGTAATCTGATCAAATTTCGGCTTTCAAATTGAATCAAATCATACAGTAGGGTTGTTCAAATGAAATAAAGGATTCTGAAATTGTATTAGTGGTAAAACTTTTGAATTTGTCAAATAATGCAACATTTGACTCATGTCATAGACAGATAGATATTCTGCACTTCATTTGTTTGTGTTTCTAGTCAAAGTAGATAAAATAGGTGTGAGCTTTTATACTCGATGTATCGCGGCTTGTTTCACTTGACATGTATAAAAAAACTGCATCGCAAACAGAGAGTAAAAGTTATCACCTCACTTTTAACTCACCGGTACAAGACTTGCTTCAGCGTTTCAGTTCTCCTTTGCTCTTTATGACTCTCTTCCTCTCAAACACAAAAAGAAAAAAAGACCCAAAGATGATTCATCACACACTCCTACACTCCTCCAGGCCACTCTCTTCTGGCCGATGGTGTGTGAGCAGGTGAGGCGTGTGTTTTTGTATCTGCGGAGCTGCAGACCACCACTCTTTAGTCGCATTTTGCAACCATGGAACACCAAAACACCTTAACAACAAATTAAATTATCACGTCATTTTTTTCTCTTTCTCTCACAGACAAAAACAAACAAAAAAAAGACTCACAAACATGATTCATCACACACTATCTGTAGCGCTGAAGACTGCCACTGTTCAGTCGCATTTTGCAACCATGGAGCACCAGTACAACTTGCAAATAGTAGAACTGGAGAGGTGTTAGTTTATTTCACAGTGAATAAATTCTCATGTTCAACAACGCCGCTGTAACAGTTTAATTTTGTGCGAACTGCTGACAGCTGACTGTTGACTGGAAGCTTAAAGTTCACAGCAAAAACATCAACACTTTCAGCCTGAGACGAGCCCAATGTATAGAATAAAAGCACCAGTAGTTCTGCTTGGATTTATTTCATTATATCAACACTTTAACTCAATTATAATGGTACTTGTAGCACTATTTTATTTAACTTCATTAAACAGCAGTTAATTTTATTATATAACAGTTTACTTTATTAAACTTTAGTGTAACTGAAGTTTACTGAAGTGCTTTGGTATTTTCTATTTTCTAGTCTACAGTGGTTTAGAGTAGATTTTGAAATGTACATATCAACTATTGCAAAACAGCCTAAAAATATTGTGATATCACACAAAAAGTATTTTAACTTTCATTTATCACTTAATATAAATAACAATGACACAGTCAAAAGTAGTTTCTAGCAACTGTAGTGCACATACAGTTTATTCCAGAGACTTTCACTGCCAGTGTGCTGTTGTATTGACACTTTGGGTTATTATTGTTTACTTACTAAGAGGAGTTTAAGGTTTTTCTATCTCTCAGCCTGTCAGGATATGAGTGGAAGTTAAACATGGGATGCAAAACAGGACAGAAGGACAGGCACAGTCGTGAACAAAGACTAACTGCTGTAGAGGTGTGGTTTAAATAGTGCAGTGTCTCTGTCTACACTTTGTTGACATAAACACGACTGCGAAAATGTCCCCAGCTGTCAGTCTACCTGTCCTGTTGTGTCTGTATAGATCACCAGCTGTCCAGGTGCTTTACCTCCATCTAAAGATGTCACACATGGCAGGTGGTCGGGATAAAGCCTCAGTTCGTCCTTGCTGACCGTGCAACTCTGCCCTGCTATATTTATACTAGAATATTTGTGCCACTGCCAAGCTCACTATGTTTGCAGTATTGCCTTCCAAGTTGCATAACTGCTCACCTATAATGTCCCTGCTCTTTGTGTGTGTGTGTGCATTCAACTGTGGCAGTGTGAATGTACACACAGTAGAACAGAGATTCAGCTCCTTTGTTTACCCTCCATCTATCAGGCCTGACGACACAGTGAGTGATCAGATACATTTCATGCAGGTTACAGGTTGCAGGTTTGTCACTCTGCACAAAGTGTTCAGCTTGAGGCTCGATCTCTGAGCAGTTTCACCATCTTGTGCTTGTGAGCGTTTCATTTTAAATCTCCGTCCCACTAGTTTTTATATCCTCCTTAGGCACATAGGCGCACTCACACACACACACACACACACACACACACACACACTTCTGAGAAATCATGTTGCTTTTCATCCAGCCATGTAATTGGCTGCTCCTCTCAGGAAATGAGGGGCTGCTAGCTGTGTTTGTCTTAATCCAGTGGATTACAGTGGCAGACAAACCAGCATGGGGGAGAACCTGTCTCCACTTGACAGATACACCAATGGGGAAAAATAGGGAGGAGGAGAAAAAGTGTATTTGAAAGTGAGATAGGACAGAAGAGAGCAAATGCTGAAGCTAGCCCAGAGAAGGTACGAGTCAGGCTGTCTTTGTACCTGCCTACTTTTTCAAAAGGTTGAACAGAGTCTCGTCGAGTAGACGTCAAACAGCCGGTTAGATTACTTGAATTCCATTGAGCTGACTGAGTGCTGGCCTCTGCTGTGTGCTTCCTCAAGGTGCTTTTCCACTCATTTGTTTTCATTCAAACGTTTGTCAGTCACAGGCCAACTCCCAGCATGATGGTTTTCGTAAGACATGAACATGTTGTTCTCAAACTCAAGTACAGTTTTACCCATAGGCGTCATTTAGGTATGGCGAGGTATGGCAGCTGCCATACCTTGGAATCAGGAGAAAAAAAAGAGAGAGGTTCTGTAGTCATTGTATTGCACTTAAATAGGTCAATAATATGCTCATCAGTGAATACGAGTGTTATTGAATCAAATTGTTCGCCACTTCGCTCCTCCGCGAGTTATGAGTTATGTGAGTTATCTGTGTGTTGTGAAAGCATTTTGCTCCGCTGCTGTAGACAGCCTGTCTAAATGATGTCTTGAAGCCTGTCTGATTGTATGTGGGGTTTTCTTCTTCATGTCAGCATGTTAAGCTTGTATTTTTGGTCTCTGGAGAGACACTCCAATAAATTCGCCTATACAGTATTGTACCAAATTGGCCTTTGTTTTACTATGTTTCATACACCAGGCCCCTTGGTTATCTTCTAGAAATGAGCTTGTAATTAATTTATTTTATTTTCTGTGAAGTTAAACACATGACTAATGATAATTAAACGTCCGCTCGCTGTCTGTGGTGCTGAAATATGCGCCGAAATAGGTCCGATGTTTTCACTGCTCTCACTAAGTCGTGCATTACATGCAGGCATGAGGTATTATGAATGTGAGAAACAGCTTCATGTCCTTTGAAACAGTTTTCAATAGCATAGTATGTACTTCTGACAGGTCAAAGACCAAAGTGAAGTTTTTTATAAGTTCATATTTTTGAAACTCCATCATCAGTAGCTCTGTGGCATCATGTCATATTGCCATACCTTAGCTTTTGCTGAAACAACGCCCCTGGTTTTACCCCTTTTAAGTCAGTCGTGCTCTTGTTAAAACACAGTATTGGCTTTTATTGCATGATGTGTGCCACACATTAGTTTTGAATTATGTCCATCAAACAACAAGCTGTTAAAGAACATAGTGTTAATTCACAAAAATTCTGAAGTGTTTGAAATTTTTCCATTCTTTAGGACTATCCTGCATTAATATACCATCTTTATTTAGTAGGGATGCACTGAAATGAAAATTTGTGGCCGAAGCCGAATATTATTAAACGCTTGGCCGAATACTGAGTACCGAATACCGAATATCATTGTTTAGTTTTTCATTAGTTTTTGCAGATGAACCCCCTCCAGATTAGTGTTGTCACGGTACCAAAATTGGGACCCACTGTGCAATACCAATGAAAATATCATGGTTCTGAGTAGTATCACGATACCACAGCGAAAATGAGGCAGATGTGCCTTTTGTCATTTATAAAAAGATAAATCGCTTTTCTATAATACATCAATGATATTTCAATGGAATAAATTACTTATTGACTTATTCATACTTCAAAAACAGCATCAATCAGTGATTAACATAGGGGGGATCATAATAAAATAAATAAATGAAATAAAAATCAACCAGCCACCCTCCTCCCCTGACAGTCCCTTCATAAGTTACGAACAGTCCCTAAAGTGCAGTGAGGTTTGTGGACCGTTACCTGCCACAAAGAGTAATGTGAACGGCTCGTTTCTCCTCTGACACATCACATACCTGCTGGCTTGGCCGTTCAGGTACTTTTGGGCAGTCATGACGCCAAGAAGAGGATATTATTGGAACCGAGTTCTCCGTCGCTGGTAAGCCGAAGGCCACCGTATTTGACAGGAATTCATTACTGTCTGTGTCTGTGACCCCCGTTCAACCCACAACCAGTGGGATTCGCCTTTTGTTTCTGCTGCTGGTTGAAATCTGTACTGGCACAGTGTGCTGAATGATTTAAGCCTATTTTGCTTGCTCAAAACTATTTTTAGTTGCAAATGTGAGTGCGATGACGGACGGATCGCCACACTGCCGACATTTTACTCCACCCGTCACGGCACGCCGTTTGATTGCATTATCAAAACACGCCGCTATTATTCGGCCTTGCTTTTAACTTATTCCACCGAATACCGAATGTGTGTTTTTTTGCAATATTCGGCCGAATATATTCGGTTACCGAATATTCGGTGCATCCCTAATCTTTAGGCTTTAAACACTTGTTGCCTTTGTTAAAATAATCCCAGGGTAGTAACCATCTAAACATTTTGGGAGCAGCTCATTCCTACACTCTTTACAACTTGTCTTTTGACCATCACTGTCCTCACAGGTGCTTGTCTAACCCAGTGCTTACTAACCATCTTACCTTACGTCATTCCAATCCCATCTATGTTTTTTTTTCACATTTCCATGTTTGCATCAACCATCATCTTCATCATTCTCTCCACACCGCCCTCATCCCACCCTCGCTCCTTCTTCTCTGCCTTGTTCAGCTGCACGAAGACCCCTTGACTTGGACAAACCCGCTCGTCACAAGTCCCCAGGCAGACACGATGCCTATGCTCCAGTGAGCTCACATAGGGATCACTCCCCAGATTATAGCTCAACAGAGCCCAAAAGGAGCAGGTACCCAAGGCAGGACCCAGCAGCACCCCACAGCCGCTCCAGATACCCTGAGCACTACCTAGTGGCAGAAGGGGGGCGAAGCAGACATGCAGATCCATATCCAGAGCACCTGCTGCCCTCTAGAGCCAAGCATGGGGACAGGTACCCACATTATGAGCCCACAGAGACTGGCAGAGCCAGGGGCCCAAGCTGGGAGGACACAGAGAGAGTGGTGAGGAGGAAGGAAAGACCAGGCAGACCACCTCCACCACAAAGCCAAGTAGATAGAGACAAGGCTTGGGACAAAAATCGGGATAGGCAACATAACCGAGACAGGGGCAGAGACCCAGAATGGGAGAGGCATATTGGCAAGGAGCAGAGGAGAGACAGGGAGCAGGACCTCAGGGGGGCAAGAGCAGCAGGAAGAGACAGAGAAAGATCCAGAGAGAGAGGACTGAGTGGGGACAGACAAAGAGAAAGAGACAGGCAGAGACAGACAGACAAAGACAGGCAACGAGTGAGAACCAGGAGCATGGAGAGAGGACTTGACGACGAGCCTGGGCACAGCAGGGACTGGCCGAGGGAGGGCAGGGCTTCTTGGGAGGAGGAAGGGGATGATGGTGAGAGGGAGAGAAGGGCTGGGGGCCGTCAGCGCGTCCACTCCGGCCCTGACGAGGTGTTTGATGAGCTGGAAGAGCAGGGTGAGGGTCCTGGCAGGGAACGCAGTCATTCTCACCCCAGCGAAGATACAGGTACCGCCTGAGCCCCCCTCTGGGCTCTGCGGGGGTGTTTGTGTGGTGTGCTGCAGTTGTTTTTTTGCTTGGGCAATCTCAGGTGGTGGGTTGATCTAGCATCGCAATCACTAATGAACACACTAATTTCTTCTCTTCTCATGAGGGCGACAACTATTCCAAAACTAATTTCTGATGAGTGATGTGATTCAGATTTTGATGGTTTGGAATAATTGGATGTGTTGCTGTTGTGCTGTGGGGTTTGCTCACTCTTGTATTGTCTGCTAGGTTTTGTATTGAGCAAGACAAGATTACACTGTGCTGAGACTGAAATGTGTGCTGTGATTTTTGGAGTAGAATAGCTTCCTGGATTTTGATGAGCTAAAATTTGGCATTCACAAAGGGTTTCAGGGCTGGCGAGCTGGTTGCATTTAACAAAACACAGTGACAAACACCAGTAGCGCTCTGAAGCCCTTTTTGGTGCCTTGTGGCTTTAATCCAACTGTGAATGGATCTGTTTTAGTGCTGAAATGATGAATCACTTGATCAGTCAGAAAATTATTCTGATCATTCTAATTATTTTGTCATTTATCAAGAGAAAATTCCCCCCAAAAATCAGGCAAAATAAGAAATTGAAAGACAGCCCTGGATGATTTCCTGGTGTCTGTAAAATTTGAAAATAAAGACTAAAGAAATCAACAGATTATTGGCTAATGAAAATAACCCTTAGTTGGCAGCCCTTATCTGTTGTTAATAAAATTTGCTGACATCCGCAGGTCGTATCGTGCACCGAGTGAGTGGGGCAGTGGTAGCAGAAACGGAGTACGGAGTGAGCGAGGCCACCAAAGGGCTGACAAAGCTTGATATCCGTGAGCAGGAACTGAAGGACATGGAGGTGGCCAGAAAACTGCAAGAGGAGGAAATCAAGGTGAGGAAGGGACCAGGAAAGTATTTAGTTTATATGTGCATATAAAAGGTAAATAGTTTTATGTGTGAGATTAAAATCAAATCCCAGAGACCCCAGAGAAAATGACGTTTAACAGTTGCTCCCACGTTAAGCTGCTGTGTTCTGCTGTGCAGTTTGTGCATGTAAACCAAGACCTAATTAAACTTGATATTACTGAAGGCTACAAAGAGCAACCCAGCTTCTGAATGATGCTTGAATGGGAAGTCAGGTCAGATATAAAACATTAGTGAGCTGATAATAAATTTGTTATCAGAGTCTGACAGAAGGCTTATGATAAGTCTGACACAGAAATAATAGGCTCATTGTAACTAGTACAGTATCGGTTCTGTACACTGTTGGTCTCATGGGGAATTTTTCAGCCGTCTATAGAATTCGTTTAATAGCATGAGAAAAATTCTAAAAGAAAAAGCATGTAAGGTCACTTAAATTATGTGTGAAGTCTACTTTTCATTTGGCATGTTTAAAGGTGTACTATGCAGGATTGTCAGTTGCTGTTTGTAAACATGCCCACCAGTGAAAGTGAAAGTAAAGCCTGGCACCTGGTCACGTCCTTTTTATAAAGTCCAGACCTCACCTGAGTGCTGTGGGGGGACACGCCCATAAATGCCTGAGCACAGAAAATAAGAAAGTACAGGCAGAGGGTAGAGTCTCTGCAAATAAATACACCTCCACACACTCCTATTGGGTCATAGGTTGAGAGGGATTACTTCTGTATGAGTCTACACATTGTAGTATATCTATAAATAATCATGCAACTACACTGTTGCAGCAGCTTCAATATCTGGAGCAAATGTTGTGAGAAAGACGCACAGGAAGGGCACGATGTGATAAATACGCCTAACAGTCTTTGCTGTAAATGACTTGAGGCCTGAAAAAACATACTTTAAAGCCTCAACCTCAATCGTTTCCTATGTTATATAACATCGGGACAGTGTGTTCTTGTGTTCTACTCCGGGGAGAATGTGACTTTTTGATTGTTCTCTGGTTTCAGGCCAGCAAGATGCATGTGCGTGCAGCTCAAGTGGCACAGGATGAGGTGAGTGGGCATGAAGTATGGAAACTTTCCTTATGTTCTGTGTCCTCTTTTTATATCCTTTCATTTCCTGAGCCGAGCCAATTGAATTAACTTTATTGTCATATAACCCTGAGTATATAAAGCCATGTCTAAACCAGATTGACCCAAGGTTATGTAAGAAGAGCGCTTCTACTACTGTGGAAGTGACCTTATAGTTATTTAATGCTCTTTTAAGTATGGCTGTGAAACAGGTGTTTTCTACATGCAGATCTCATTTTTATAGAATGTATAGTACAAATATGATGTGACGGAATCGACCTGCCGCCTACACACTGAGTCACAAAGGATTTGGAGGTTTTTCTGTGGTTGTGTTCATGATCTAGTTGACGTGGATGTGTCTGATGTCTCGCTCCGGCAGGAAATCGCCCGACTGATAATGGAACAAGAGAAGAAGGAGTACAAGAGGAATCGAGAGCGGGAGCATGACAGAGAGCGGGAGAAAGACAAGGAGCGGGAGAGGGACAGGGAGAGGTTGGCCATGGAGAGGATGGCAATGGAAAGGAGGCGGGCAGAGGGAGACTACAGGGTAATTTTCCCTAACCATACTCCATTTTAAAATGTGTGCTTTGTGGTGGAATATTTTTGCAGCCTCTGACTTTATTTTCTGTGAAAGTGCGTTTCCACTGTGGTACCAGAACCATAATTTTTGCTGCTTTCCAGCCAAACTCAGAGGAAGTAGTGCGGCCCCGAACACGAGACGAGTATGAATACCAGAGGCAGAGGAACCACAAGCCTGCTAGGTACAAGATTCATTACTGCTCATGACCAAATATTTCCAGTCAGTCAAGAAGAAGAAACTCAATTATTTCATTAATTTCCTGTCTCTGTTGTTTCCTCTGTGTCTCTGTCTTTCCCTGTGTGTGTCTCAGGCCTCCTCAGCCTCGTGCACCAAACTATGAGAATGTGAACTCTGGTGGCTACGGCTACATGGACCACGCTGTTCCGCCTCGCGCTCCCACTAGACCTGAGGCTGCTTACAAAGGTATGATGTCCGCGTGACAGAGCGGCTGTGTTGCTTAATTTTAGCAAAAAGTCATATCAGACTAAATAAGGATGGACCCCAGCGCCGTGATTGTATTGGGTAATTGTGCATAATTTTATCTGTTCCCCCACATCTGGCACTTAAATGTGGTAAATTTCTGCACTCATTTACAACAAATAATGTTCAGTCAGTGTTTGCACTGGTGTGGAATGTGGCCCATGGGCGGACTGGCCGGAATGCTGCATGAGACAGACCAACTTCCGTCCCCTGCACAGCTATGTCTGCCTCTGCTGTTGTCGCATCTCTCAGTAACATATACAGACAGGTTTCAATGATGTTATCTTGAAGGCATGCAACATGAACCATGGGCTAAAACGTAGATTTACACTCAGAAAAAAGCAGCGGAACCTGAACGGACTAGCGCAAACAGCACAGCCAGTGATGTCAGTGTTAACAACAGTAATCCTCTGGGTCTCCAAGACAGGTAACTGTAACGTTAGTAAAGTGAAGCAGCAATCCAAAGACACGTGCCAGGCTAACTGGCTTGCAGTTTACAACAGTGAAATGAGTTGTTCGATTTGTAAAATTTGCAGTACTGCGCATTTTATGCTTTACGCTGTTATAAAAGTGAACTTAAAGTTGCTCGGACAGAGTTTCTCATACAGCAGGGCAAGGATGAGAATGGAACATGGAGACAAAAGAATAGCAGGAGCTGCCAAAAGAAAGACTAAGGATCAGTGATGGAAGTATTCAGGTCTTTTCCTTTAAAAGTAGCCATACATTAATATAGAAATACTTCATTACAATTAAAAGTCCTTTATTCACAATCTTACTTAAGTAAAGGTATAAAGTAGCAAAAAATAGAAATACGCAATTTAAGTACCTCACAATTGCACTTACACTACTTGAGCAAGTGTATTTTCTTCATTAATTTAATCACAAATTGTATATTGTTAACATCACTGCTCACTATTTTCTTTTACCATATTAGATCTTTATTCTTTCGGACAATTTTCATAGCTTAATGTGATTCTTTTCTCATGGTACTCTTAGCTGTGTGCGTCCACAAAACATGACTGTCACGACTGCAAATATTCTGCAAAGGAAGTGTTGATTCTAAAGTTGCTAAAGCTAGAAATATGCAAATAGATTTCCTCTGCTCTAACACACTAACCATAATGTATTAATCCCGAAAAAATAAAATGGACAATGCTTGCTCAATGAGTGTGTTGTGGCTGTTAGATAATGGCATTAATCGGGAAGTTGGTGTTAAAGTAAAAAACCTCATTCCTTTGATGTATGAAAACAAGGGGTGCAAAAAATGTATGTTTATTTGTTTATATGTATATATGTTTATTATTTATTTGTTTGTATACTATGAATTCGAGAGTAGTTAAAAAGTGCTCTGTTTGTTTCTGTACATTTGTTTTTCTCATCGTTACTCTTTCGGATTTTTTTGCAAATATATAAGCACAGGGTGTAAAACAAAGGGGAAGAACACTGAACAAAATCAAAAATAAAACAACAGCCAGTAAACAGTTGCCTTTCTTAGTAAGATGACAGTTAAGAGATGACAGGAAATGAACCAGAGGTGTTGCAGCAGCAGATGGTCTTCGCCTCAACCTCTCGACCAGCAGAGCGCCCTGATTAGTGATGCATTTCACAGAGAGATAAACAGTGCTTGTTTCACATGAGCAGAAGACTTATGTGAAGAAAGCAGACAGCAGAAATAAATCCCAGATCTCAAAGAAGACAAACCGATGTCTGGAAAGTGCAAAAACAACACAACAACTATGATCTAACTTAAACTGTGTTGTGATGTATGAAGCTGCTGATAGATCTCTCTGTCTCCTCCATCTTTTCCAGGTGCCTATTACAAGCGGTGACTCAGGCTCTCCACCATGTCCAGACATGTTGTCAATCCTCCTTCGTCCCCCCTTTTTTTTCTTATTTATCTTTTTATTTTTAACCATTCACACTCTGTTGACCAAAAGCCTTGGGACAATCTAATGAGTTGGCAATGGGATTGTTTTTTTAATACCCTCCAAAGTTAGTAAAGGAAGTGGGTCTGTGAGTGCTGGAAGCACACTCATCTTTTCCTTTTTTTTTAATTTGTAAATTGTAATGAATATTATTATTATTATTTCTTTTAACTGACTCAACATCAAACAAGCCAATATGGCAGCCTCCTGACATTGACACCCCCCCCCCCCCCCCCCCCCCCCCCCCCCCCCCCCCCCCCCCCCCCCCCCCCCCCCCCCCCCCCCGCCCCCCCCTCCCCCTCCCCCCCCCCCCCCCCCCCCCTTTAGCTGTTGGAAACAGAGGAACTGGCGCCTCACCTTCTGTCGTCATCATGTGCTGATGTTCGTCCCATCTGTGGACCATGCCGTCACAAGGGCTCAAGGCCTCTGCTGGATATAACCATGCAATCTCAAAATCCCTCATGACTCTTTCATGGGACGTGCCTGGCTGCTACAGTGTCTTAGATACCAACATGGCAGCTGCTTTGTAAACCCATGCTGCAGTTCTGTTCTCATCACATTGCGCAACGAGACTCAACAGGCCCTCTCCATGTGCCACACAGCACATGACCCCGGAGGGATACGCTCCTGTTGCTGTATTCAAACTACACACAAAACATAAGCCTTTATCAAGATGCTGGTAGTTTTGGCTTTGACCTGTTGTACCACCTTGTTCCAGTGCAGAGGAGGTGGAGCTTTGTGATGATCCATGGACATTTAACTGGCTGTCGTAGGCTGTCGTCTTCTGCTTGTGAGGGGCACTTTTCAACCCCGTCACCCTTCAGACTGTGGATGGATGATACTCTTGTGTATGACTCACTGTTTGTATGTGCATGCTTACTGAAAGTGTACAACTGTGTACCTGCATTTCAGCTCTATATCAAACTATCTGGCTCCCTCTTTGTTGTCAGAAAGGGCTAAAGCCACAAGAAGCCAATAATCTCTCTCTTTGTGAATGAACAAAATATGTCAGCTCATATACAGCTGTACAATATATCACCTTTCTGCCACTCCACATCGGCCTCGTCATTTACAAACCAAAACTGGCCCGTAAAAGAACCAGTACCAAAATGAAATGCATGTACATTGCTTGTCTGTGTCAAACCTGAACTCATGCTTGTGCTTACGGCACAGACGTCATGTGATTGAATATTTGCTCCTGTTTTATTTAAATGTAAATATCTTTTTTGTTTTCTTAATTTTGCTACCAATTCTGTTCCCCATTGTGGAAAACACACGCTTCTCTTTTCATTCCCTTTCTTTATCTCCTATTTGTTATATTTGTTCAGAAAGGGAACCTTTATATATATATATATTTTTTTTTTGTTTACAATATTTTGTTGGTCTTTCCTCAGATTGTCTCCTCTAAAAGTTTCCCCGCTGTCACTTCCAGTCCTCCTCTTTGTGTCCAGCTCAAAGGCAGACGTCACTTCCTGCCCGCAGAAAAGACAAACATTCCCACAATAGAAGGCGTCTGGATGGAGGGAGATCAGTCACAGGATCAGCTCTAATTTATATTACTACTTTTCAAAGGGACCTATTTTAGCATTTTTACAACTCCGGGATCCATTATTTTCTGTTCATATAGAATAATAAGGGTGATGAGTAAAATGAAGAACACAACCAGGCTTTTAAGTTTACTGATATTTTTGTGGTGGCCACAAAGTGACTCTTTGACCATTCAGTGCTGCTTCCAAGTTCACACATCGTAATAAATGTTGAAATTATAAACCACCTTCCAAAATGACTCCCTCCCCATTCAGAGAAAGTGTGAGATGTTTGCGTTGCCAAGGACAAACACACAGATGTTATGGAGATATATGATGTGCTGTTGACAGAATGAGATTTGTGCCATATGTTTGTAATTGTTTTCAGGGATTTGAAAATGGGAAGAGCTTAAAGTAGTTGTGGTTGTAGCAGAGCTACCACACCCACAGAGGTGGGACTCCTTATTTATTCTTTGGTGAGAGCACCACCATGTGGACGTGTTGAAAAATGAAGGGGGGAAAAGTACAAAATTGGTGAGATCAGGATGCCTCTTTGTGGATGTTGTGCATCAGACATTACTTTGGGATCGAGTGCTGTCTACATCAAACATTGAGTGCTATGTTTTTTTATGTTCTTTAATCCAGGGCTTGTATGCAATCTACAGATCATGAATCAACTCATGTTGGCACTTGCTGTAACAGAACTTTTTTTTTAAGTACAATGAATTAACAAGTTGCTTTTATCTATAGCATCTCAAAATGTAATAAACTGCATCAGCATTTCCACTGTTCATGAGTGTGACTCATTCAGTCACATTGAGGCCCCTGAAACACCTGAGGCCGCTCAGCGTGTCGCAGTTCAACCTGTTGCAGTTCAACCTGTTAAACGGAGGCCTCAAATAACCCTGGAGGAATACCTTAAGGTTTCTTTGAGTCATTTATACACCACACTGTGTTTTTATTGTCAGAATGTTGCCTCACCACAGAGAATACACACCATCTACCTGTAGTACAAGTTTTAAGCTTTCCAGGAAAGATGGAAAAGGCATATTGTGTGTGTTATCTTAAGCTGCATCTCGTCCCTCCAGCCACTGACCTGCTGGAACTACAGGCCCACAGCAAATCTACATTACAAAAATAGCATATTTAAAATTGCAGCAGTGTTGCCTGACGCCCAGGGGTCATCTGAATGTTAAATAATGTCTCACTCACCTGTTAGCAGTCTTAATGCAAGTAGTGCTGGTCAGTATTCACACAAATTCGTTCTGCACCTCGGCTTTATCAAATGAACCCAGGCTTGAAGAAACCTGTTTGAGCTGTGTAGACCTCCAGCTGTTTGCGCACACAAATATTAACCACAAGCTAAAAGACTGCTGAGACAAGAAAGCTGACTTCCTCACAAGCATTTCTCATTTATTTCTGCAGGAACAGACACACAAATACATTCACTGTGAGCAGAAGCTAATATACAACATTCCACTTTGATCCTGACTCATCTCAAACTCAATAATGTGCCATCACTTCCTTGTGTGTAGTGTCAGGTAGTCTTTTATTGTCAACAGTTTTAATAAATCATGCCACTTGCGAGGAAAGTACAGAGTTACACCCATCATCTGAGAACGGCTGAGTGGATCTGGTTCACCAACATACCTGACATACTGATGCCTCGTCTGCATGTGGTAACACCACTGCCATGCCCTCAGTGGGATATGTCACAACCAAACTACTGGTAGCTACACCTCCATAACCAGAAAAGCAGCCACTGCTGTTGTTTGGAGATTAAAAAATGTCGAAAGCAGACAGGATCTGTTTTGCTCCTGGTGGCCTTGAAAGTTAAAATGCTCTTCAGATGAGATGTGTTAAAAGAGGAGGACCACCATGTGGCTATGCAGCTTTAACAGATCAATACATTCTACAGTGAAGATGCAGATTTAGCTCTCCAGGCAGCTGAGCTCAGCAGAGTTTCATGCTGGCATCTATTTGGCCCTCTTCCTCCTCACAGACATCAGACATTTGTCCAAAGCAGAGATCAATTCTGTACCTCAGTCTGAAGACTGCAGTCAAACTACAATCCATCCAAACCTCCACTGTGGCTCCGCTCTTTGGCCTTGGATGCATGTTACACACACGACCAGAAACAATGACTGAAATTTTTGAAAACAGAAATTCCCAGGCAAAGTTTCCAGCTGTATGGGCAACACAAACACTGCGAGACAACCCCCCTGTGAAAAAGAAACAAGAGTTATTACCAGCAATATAAAGCTTAGCTGCGCGTCACAGGAGGCCTGCATGTTTGATCGTGCTCCTCTTACACTGGCTGCATCACAAACACTCACACACTCACACAAACAATAATCCTGCAGCTCACATCTGCAAGCAAATATTGATTCATGTTCATGTGCTCAAACTCGTTTGATGCGCTGGGTTCATTAATTTGACTCATCACCGTGGAGCACACGATCATTCAACAGCCGCGACAGGTGTTTGCACTGAAAACTGACAAAGGAGCACGATCACACGCACCGTGACGAGCAGGTGACACTGTTGCATAACTGCTAAACTGAACAATGAGTATCAATAAGTATGAGCAGGTAATTGAACTCACCTGTCCTCCAGGTAATCAAGTGGCACCAGAGTGATGAAGGAGCTGCTGTATTCACCGAGGGAGTGAAATGATCTCTGAGGACTGAGTGTTTTTTTCTCCTGTGTCTCACCTGGCAGGTAAGAGGGTGAGTGCTGCTGTCTGTCAACTGCTGCACGCCGTGTTGAGACACGAAGACACACCCACTTATTACAGAGACAGAGAGAGGAGGAGGAGGAGGAGGAGGAGGTGGGGGACTACCTACACACTACATACTGCAGGTCTGCAGGTTTCTGTCTATCCAGCTCACAGAGAGAGGAAATAAAACATGTGCTCCCTCCACTCTTTGATAGGAGATCTGTAAAGGAAAAAGTGCCAGTCATTTTAATGCAATGCCTCTCCCCCTTTCTGTGTGTGTGTGTGTGTGTGTCTCTTTCTCTCTCAGCCTGATGAAGCCTGGGGCGCATCTTCAGGAAAAACCGGTGGAGGTAGTCAGAGAGCTTTTTTGTCAGGCGTTCAACTGATCCAACCCTCAACAGAGCACAGCCAAACTCTAACTCTGATCTTTTTTTTCCATTGGGAGGGGATCATTACAGCCAGCTACAGATTAAAATGTAAATTAAAGGGAAAAAGAGAATTAAACTAAGTTATTTAAACACTACATTTCCGGTTTTTCTTTTTTAATCCGAGCACTTTGTGCACTGCAAATGCTTCACAAACAGGATTGCATCAGCAGAGCTGTCTGTGGTGCCACACCTTCAGCCACACACTATGTTTCCATATATTAATACATCTATCCACTTTGCATTCACAGAAAAGAGCCCATAGTCTAACACCAGTCTGTACACAATACATTCAGTAAATGCACAACACTTAATATGCCCTATAATATCAGACTAATGTCAGAGGCAGTGTTAGGTTACAGATTACTCAGTACGC